GCTGAAAAACACCCACACCAGACTTCAGCCTTGAGACTCCTTTGTGTTATTTGTTGGCATTGCCCAGCACAAAATGCCTCTGCAGCCAAAACCCAGCTTGGAGGGGAGTTGTGGAAAGCAAAAAGACCCTCTCACAGCTRAGCTGAGGGACCTGCAACCCAATAATCATCTTTTGCTCTGAAGTTTGTAAGAGCTTAACCASAAAGAGATGAAGCCCAAACAATAGGAAATTCAGCATTTTATGCTGTACTGGTGCCTACATGGGCAATAAGACAATCTGTCACAGCAGAACTCCTAAAGAGTGCCTTTGCACTTGCATAAGCCTCCCTCCTGCAGGGAAATGGTGAAAGGAATGCTCTTAAGATATGAGTTCTTTCCCTTATCTTCATTAGAAAATGAATTTTTCTTTTTGCTGCTGCTGGTCTTAGAAGTGAAGTCCAAGTGTTGGCTTCAAGGTTATGCTGAACAGCTCAGGACATCACTTTTGAGCTCACTTTGGAGCAGCCCAGTAGAATACAGAAGGGGATGAGAGCAGACAAAGACTGGTTATGCTGGAAAATAGTAGCAGCTACTAACAAGGACATCTCTAAACCAAAGGTGATGACAAAATCTGAATTAATAAACTAGGTAGGTAATACCACAACTAGCAATAGTACAAGGCATAGTGGCCTCAAGTTGCACCAGAGGAGGTTCAAGTTTGACATTTGGAAAGATTTCTTCACTGTAGTGAAGTGTAGTGTAGTGAAGTGTAGTGGTTAAGCACTACAACAGGTTCTCCAGGAATCTTAAGGAGTTCCCATCCTTGGAAATGAGCAAAAACTGAGTTGATGTGGAACTATGCAAAATGGTTTAGTGGGAACAGCAGAACTCACACAAAAGTTGAACTTGATGATTGGGGAGAACTTCTCCAACTTTACTGATTCTATGACACACTGAGACTGAAGGTACAAGCCATGTCAGTGTTAAGGAAGAAGCAGGCTTTTAAGCAGGAGAGAAAAAAGCAGGGCAGAGCAGGGTATCAGCAGATTTGTCCGCAAGAAAACTGTCTGCTGCTGTCTGCTCGGATGATGCCTCAGATCCAAGCTGYTCTTATGCATCCCTCGTAAACAAACCAGGCTGGACCCTAAAAATATGCTGGACCATGGCATCTGCTCTTCACAAGGGATGTAATGAAAACCTCAAATATTAGTTATGTGCCCAATCCAAAATGCCATACTCATCTCCATTGTCACAAATTTGTAACAAGCATCACTGCCAAGAAGTGTCACTTTTTACATACATGAGATTTGACATGATTCTTAAGGTCCCTMCYAACCCAAACTATTCTATGATTTTACCWATATTGGGTGTTTTTAGGMGGGTGGCTTTAATCAGCGAGTGCTTAAATTACATTTCTTGTGAAAACTGGATCAAGATATTGCTGGGCTGATGCTAGATTGTCATGTTCCATCTCTGCCTTGCAGACTTTCAAGCATCAAAAGTGATAGGCCAAATGAACCAGAACAGACAAAAGAGCAAGGATGGAAATGTGTAAAGCAGAGGAGGAATGATATTCCATGCAGAGAAGTTCTGGGTCTCTGTATAGTCTCATATTCTCTGCTGGAAATCCTACAGACATYTGCCTCATTCTGTGTAGTCCAACTTCTCAAGGTGTTCCCTTTACTTTTATTTATTCAGTGCATCTGACAATGATAAAACTTATCCATTAGAATTTCTACTACTTCTAATATAATTCCTTAATTTAAAGATAGGGAATCTCTAGAAATGGCAGACTATTTCAAAATTTCTAGCCTCTTGACTGTACACATCCTATATATAAACCTGTTCCATTTCCTCTTGGTGTGAGAAAAACTGCACTATTTTTAAGYGTGCATAAGATATAGTGATGACAGCTGAAATCCTGTGTTTATCTGATCGAAWGGCATGTGTTGGAAGATAGTAAATCTGAAATTAAACCACATTCTATCATTCTGCCAGTCACTGACTATTTTATCTAACAGCCCCAGCTAAAATAACTAGATTAGGTAGGGAAGGTAACCCTTGTCCTCACTATGCCCATTCCAGCTACAATAAGGAAAGATTTCATCCGAGTGACTATCAACCTACTTTGCCTGCTGGCCCACACCACATAAGCTCAGCAGGATTTTTGGGACACACAGTTAGGAAAGCTGCTCCTTATTCAACAAGGAAATCTTTCCTCTCATGTGGCTTGGAAATGCTGGCTTCATTAGAGTGCCATACGACCCTTTTAGAGAGGGTGAGGAATAACCCACATGGACTCCTCCAATAGTGGCCAAACAAGCCCCACTGCCTTTTGCAATGCCCACTCCTCCACTGCTGACCAAGCACCACTCAGCTGCAGCAGAAGTGGGAAGCAGTTCCAGGGTGGAAGTATTAAAGCTCGTCCCTGACTGACAGCTCTTTTTTGGAGGCCAGTGTTAAAATCAACCATGCCCTGTCAGAGCCTGATTAAATTCTGCTCACTTCACAGCTATGAATAGGGGGATCAAAGAATCCCAAAATCAGGAGCACTGCCGCACAGGAAGAAGGGAGTTAAAATACATGAGCTGTTCACTTTGTAGGTRCCTTCACAGCTCAAAGCTGCGAGTACATTTGATTGTTTTTCTTTTAAATTGGGCCCTGCTTTCCTTGCCAGGCTTTATTTAATTTTGATGGGGATAGCTTCCAGGTGGTTTTGTTAGCAGCACCTGCCCTCTACTGCAATCTGTCAGAGGACACTGAATGTTTACATGCACATCTCTGCATACAGCTGCTGCTACAGTAGGAATTTCTACTCTGCAGCTGTATCTACATAAAAAAAAATAGAGAGTGACTTCTTACATAGACATACAGAGATAGGACAAGGGGGAATGGTTTCCAACTGAGAGAAAAAATATGAAGATTAGACTTTTGGAACAAATCCTCATGATGAGGGTGATGAGACATTGGCACAGGTTGCCCAGGGAAGCTGTGGCTGCCCCATCTCTGGAAGTGTTCAAGGCCAGGTTGGATGGGGCTCTGAGAAACCTGGCCTGGTGGAAGGTGTCCCTTGCCATGGCAGGGGAATTGAAATGAGATGAGCTTTAAGGTGCCCTCCAAAMCAAGCCTGGTTGTGATTCTCTATATGTTTTAGCATCAAAAATACTGATATTTTTATCTCAGCTCTTTTGCTGTGGCCTTGGGCAGGTTGTATGATTCCTCTGGCTTCATTTCCCTATCTGTCTAGGGGACACAAATATCTAATTGTGCACTTATGCATTGCTTCAAAGTGTCATTGCCAAGCACAATCCACAGGACATGCCAAATGCTGTCATAGATATAGCTGAACGTATTCCCAAGTGCCAAGCTGGATATATCAAATACAGATGTGAAGCCGAACACTGATCAAAAGGCATTCTAGACTATTTCATATAATGTGTTTCAATGTCACTGCCACCCTCATCCTAACAAAATAACAACTTGCAATGAAAACAACTGCATTTCAGCACTCCCAAGAATTCCATGCATGTCTCCAGTACCAGGACATTTACCTAGCATGAAGTGACCRCTTTTTATTCCATGTGACAACAAGTTTTATAATCACTTAAATCTTAACAGAAAATCCACAACAGAAAAACAATGAGAACTTGCAAAAAATGTTTTGCAATCCCAAAACAAATTAATAACACTAAACAACAAAGAGAGGGAAGCAGCTTTTTGCCCTTTATAGGTGTAGCAAATCCCTTTCATGGAACACCTCTGTCTGATCCCATCAGGAACTACTGTCATAAGGCAACAGTGAACACSAGAAGCTTGCTGAAACATTTTCATTTTATCAAAATTCCATGGATTTAATTCAAAACTCAGTGAAGCCAAACAGAGATTTTTTTTATCGACTTCAGCATGCTTGGATCAGCACCTACACTCTGTAGTACCAGACAGAACATTTGCCTCYTCAAGAGTTCAAGTTGAGTTCAAGTTCTTCTGATATAGACATTTCCCTATCYTAAATGTTTSTCATACTYTCTCAAAGATATCCTTAACAGYCACWGTTCAGAGCTGMCTGAAMRCATTAATATGCCTTGACTACAGTGMCTGTAAGAAGGGAGCCCTGAACCCTCAACGTTGTATGGGACTTTGAGCAACCCAGTCTAGTAAAAGATGTCCCAGCACATGGCAGAGGGTTTGGAATGACATKATCTTTAAGGCCCCTTCCAACCCAAACCCTTCTATGATTCAACAATRCTGATTATTTTTCCTTTGTTTGGACCATGTTAGTKTTCATTGCCTGACAAAAC